ACGGGGCTGACACTGCAGCCCCCACGGAGGGTCGCGGCGCGGGATGAGCTCTGCCGCGGCCAAGGTACGCGGTGCTGGCTCCGCGCTCTCCCTGCGGAGCGTCCGCGCCGGGCGGGAGGGGAGCGGGGGGAGATGGCGTCGTCAGAGCTGGAGGGAGCGGGGCTTGGGGCGGCGGCTCTCCGCCTCGCTCGGTTTGGCCTTGCCGCCGGCCGCGGCCGCTGGCTGGGATCGCGGCCTAAATCAGCTTCCGGTGCCCTGGGCTCCCCGGAAAAGCCGGGATGGTGGTGACCGAGAGGACTGCACCCCGGTGCACGGCGTCTCTTAAATAGATTTCTGCTGCCCCGGCCTGCACCCACGTCTCTGTCTCAGTGGAGAGCTAGGAATTTGCGTCCGTGCTAAATAAAACTAATGCCTTTCAAAGCAGTGGTAGTGTTTACTTAAGATAGTTTATCCGTGTGAGCTGTTAACACCAATGCCTGCTGCAGAGATACTGAGAGTTTAGGAGCAAACCTGTTCCTTCTGCTTATACCTTTACATTTTAACCCAGCAGAATACAAGTGGTGCCTGTCAGACACTGAGGTTTCCCCTACACAAGCCTCCAAGGAGCATTTTTCTCTCTCGTGTCCCACATGGGCAGCTGCTCAGCATCAGTCCGTGTGTGCAGGCTGCTTGGAGTGATGGGTCTCAAGAAACACGTGAAAGACTCTGCCTTTCCAAGTGCATCCCGAATATAGCCTGGAAAGAGGTGGTATCCAGAGGAGACCATACTGAAGCAGACAGGCTTGGAAACCTGAGAGCTCAACACACAAAGTTTGGGGTGTCTCTTTCATCTTCCTTGTCGTGGTTTAACCTCAGTCGGCAACTGAGTACCACGCAGCCACTCGCTTACTCCTCCCCCTCCACCCCCAGTGGGATGGGGGAGAGAATTGGAAGAGTAGAAGTGAGAAAAACTCGTGGGTTGAGATAAACACAGTTTAATAATTGAAATAAAATAGTAACAACAACAACAACAATAATGTAATAATAATAATACACAAAGCAAGTGATGCACAGTACAATTGCTCACCACCCCGCCGATCGATGCCCAGCCAGCCTTTCTTTGGCCAGTTTGGGTCAGCTGTTCTGGCTGTGCCTGCTCCCAACATCTTGTGCACATCCAGCCTTCTCAGTTGGTAGAGCATGAGAAGCTGAAAAGTCCTTGACTAGTGTAAGCATTACCTAGCAACAACTAAAACATCGGTGTGTTATCAACATTGTTCTCATACTAAATCCAAAACACAGCACTGTACCAGCTACTAAGAAGGAAATTAAGTCTATCCCAACCGAAACCAGGACATTCCTAAACAGTGAAATGCACTGTCCAGATTTTTACTCTGGATTAGGATTTAAGCCCAAACTTTCCTCACTGCACCACTGATGCTGGAAATGAAAACAGAACCAAAACAGAAGTCTCAGTAGACATCAAGCAAATGTTGTCCTCTTGCTATCCTCCCAGCTCCCACTGATCTAACCTGCAGCTTATGGGGATTGTACCCCCCGGGGTTGTAAATGGAGGCAGTTCTTCCCTGCTACTTCCCTCGCCCATGCTGAGCTTTTCCTCTGAGGAAGACTAGATATAATGCCATTCTGGGACCTGTCCACTGAAGAGAAAACACTCCTGCTGTCTCTAGTCTTTACGTAGCTGATTGTTTTGCCTGTGATCTGCCCTGCTGCTGGGAGCAAAACAGCATGAACTTAAGAGATCACTCCAGGCCCCAGCCTCTGGAGACACAGTTCCCAGCTGAGGGATGGGTTGTTTTCCATGTTCTTTTTGGTGAAATCCCCCAGGGCCTTGAAATTCTAGAGTGAAGCAATTAGCTTAGCACAGTTTATTACAAATTGTAGCGCAGGCTGCAAAAACAACAAAGAACTGTAGAGAGGATCAGGAGAGGTGTCTCTGCCAGCTGAGAGGCCAGAGCCCAAAACAGATGTGGTGAAGGACATGAATTTCTGAGCCAAAAAATTATCAAGGTCCTCAGGAAAAACAAGTAAAAATAGTACATCGTGAATGCTGTATGTTTCTCTTTTGAAGTCATAGTTTCTGTTTCTTTCCCTGCAACCCGGCAGGCTAGACATTTGAAAAAAAAAGCGTAGCTGAGATTTCTAATGCCCTGATTCCAGAAGCAGAGAATTTGAGAAAATCAGTAAATACTTTGTCCACAAGTGTTGCCAATACTGCCATCACTTCCCTCCTCACTTATAAACCATTTCTCCAGTAAATTTTGACTAGAGTAATTTAATCAAATGCATACCTCATTTGAAGATATTTGAACCAATCTAAACTGTAAGAGAAGCATCAAGTTTACAAAGAGGACTGGAGCACAGAGATCCTCAGGGTCTCTCTGGTTTTCTGTTGACAGATTGTGTGTCAGTGAACCAATCCCTGCCATTTTCTGCCTTGCTGTCAGTCTCTGGTATAATTTCTATGCATTTTGGGAGGGTGGAGAGACGGAGACATCCCTGGCATGCCATGGGATCAATGGAAGGAAGGAGAGACATGATTATGGGTTTATTTAGAGACACGCATGAGTACCAATTTCCTGTGTGGAAAGAAAAGACTGTAACACAAAAAAGCGAGCTTCGTATTTTGCACAAAGTTGGCCCAGGAGCAGAGTAGCAGCCTATCCCAGGCCTGCAACGTAGAAAACCCTCTGCACCGGCTGGTACTGATGGGAGGAGGGCTCCAGGAGGACCCTAAGGGACCTCCCCACAAAGGCAGCCCCTGTCCAGGGAGCTGGCAGTCGTTCCCTAGTGAAACAGAAATTCTGCACATGGCTTCAGTTTCCTTGTTTTGTTCTATATATTTCTGCATTGGCAACTGCTGAGAGCCTGACAGGCTCTCTAGATATCTTATTTATTTCTGGACAAAAAACTAGGGAAATAAGGATGGTTGCTAAATGTGCTTCCAACCTCAAAGGTGGTTAATGGTTCTGATATCAGGGCTGGGGCTGCAGCACAACACACAGGGATGTGAATGCAGCTGACTGCAGTTGCTCAGGATTGAATCTGACTGGCTGGTTTTTGTGTCCTGGGCACAGATTTGGGGGCATAGTCCTTTTCTCATTGGCTTTAGGAGAGAAGCCTTCCCCCGTCCCAGCTGAGTTAAAAGGGAAAGTGAAGAGGTTGTTTTTATTTCCTGGAGTAGAGTGCACACACTGACCATGGCATCTGAAAAGGTGAGAGCTTGGACGGGGTGGAAGCGTCTGGGAAAGCTGCCTTGGTGCTAGAGTTCAGATAGAGATGAATTGTCTGCCCTCTTGGCCTTCATCTCAAACAGCAGAAGCTCTTCTTGTTTGGAAAGAGGCCTGGCCCTGCCTTCCATGGCTGGAAAAGCTATTTCATGCCACGCAAATACCCGGTGCAGGTGCTCAGCCCAATCAGCGGGGAATTTGTTTCAAAAATCTAAGATGGGATAGAAGTTAGCAACATCTGATAGGGACAAAGAGGGAAGCTTTGTAGGGGATAATTTTAAACTCACTTGTGCATTGCTGGAAACATCAGGTGCAACTAAATATTCAGAGGGCCAGCATGAAAGACAGCGATACTACCTGTACACCCAAAACCAGGAACTGTCACTTTCAGAAAGGAGCCCTCTCTCCCCCAAATGTTGCTCGTCCCTGTCTTACAGTTTCTGAAATGCCTTCTGTTCATGCATTGTTCTCCTTGCAACACTCTGGCATTCCCACCATATAACCACTTTCTCTCATTCTTTTCTCAGCCGATACTTTATAGCTATTTCCGAAGTTCCTGCTCTTGGAGAGTGAGAATCGGTAAGATCTAGTGTTGATCCCTCTTTTATTGTTTTGGTGTTACTGCAGCATCCTCCCCTTCACTAACCCAATTAATCAGTCACTTATTAAGACAAGAGATCAGCAAACGTGAACCTGGAACAGTGACGTATTTCCCCGGTGGGAGGGAAGGGAATACCACAGCTTACCTGGAGCAGGGGGAAGGGAGAGGAATGGACAGGAGGGTTTTGCTCAGCCTGCAGCTTTGTAAAGCTAACATGATGCAGATGGCTGTTTCTTCCACATTATCTAGAGGGGCTTTACACTCTGTTTTTACGTGGATACTGCCTCACACTCTGGTCTGCCCAGGTCTTGAGAGCTAAGCAGGGCTGGGAATGGTCCCTACTTGAACTGAGGCAGTCTTAAGCAAGGTTTTGCAGGTGAGCACAGGGCCCCCTGCCCTCTATAAGCCAAATCAGGAGGGGCTGTGCTGCAAAGAGTGGCAGAGCTTATTTTGAAAATGAAGTGTTTTTGCCAGGACTGATCTTTAGTGCTTTGGTCCTTCATTTGCCAGAGCACTACCTTCTCGGTGGATTCAGGCCACCTTTCTTGAGGGATAGGGTCTTTTTTGGTTTTAAAGCCATTCTTTTTTCAAATGGAGATGGCAACGTTTCCCTGAGCTCATTACCAATGAAAATGGTCTCAGTGTGCCTGTCTGAAGCTGTACACTCTGCTCTCCCTAGCACTGGCTCTGAAAGGGATCTCCTATGACCTGGTGCCAGTGAACCTCCTGAAGGACGGGGGGCAGCAGGTAAGGATACAGCTACCATTGCTCTCTCCAGGGGTACTGAACTTGGGGATCATTGGAACAATTGGGATTAGTACTAGAAAGTTCACAGGCAAAGTCACTGAATTCCTCACCGCTTCTGTGTAATTAATAGTTGCTTTCAGCCAGTACTCCCTGGCATGCAAGACAGAGGGAGAAGATGACTGCAGGAGACTAAAGGTTTTTTCCTCTCTTAAACATCTGTGACTGAATTTCATAAGGCTGAAGATCTTTTGCTCCTGCTTAGCATGATATAACTGAACATACCTGGCACACAGACTTCAGAGAAGCTGCAATGCAATTTAAACACAGACTCGACCTCATACAATTAGCACCAGAAAGTGTGTGTGTGGCAGGGGGTGTGTTCCCAAAAGATGCTAAATGATATAGCAAGGGGCTGCAAAGGGCCTGCCAAAGACAGGGTGGGTTGCCAGAAGAGATCTTCACTGAGAACTTATTTGGGGGGCCATAGCGGGGAGTTGTGCACCTAGTAGTACCACCGGCTTGATGTACCAATATGGGCTAAGACGGAGTTGGAGAACTAGAACAGTAATAGTGACACTGCTGCAGTACCACCCATCCTGGGCTTTGTATTGATGGTTTATCAAGAGGTAAGGCAGTCCGGCCCTGGATGCAGGGATCCCTGAGCCCCAGTGAGAGCTTGCTGTAGGCTAATAGTACAGCATAACTTACTGCAAATATTAGCATTGAGGTAGAGGGAAAAGCCAGGTAAAAAAAATAATATAATTTGGTAACTGGATTCTAGGGGAAGAAAACAAGGAAGAAGAATTTCTTGTTGCAGTAATCTCAGGTTTGTTTCCGCAGTTTTCTGCTGAATTCAAGGCAGTGAATCCAATGCAGCAAGTCCCAGCCTTGAAAATTGATGGCATCACCCTTTCTCAGTCGGTGAGTTACCAGCCACATCCCTGTTAACCATTCACTCCAGCCTGCCCAGTCTGGAGGGGATGGCTTTGCCCCATCTTTTCCCCCAGAGCTCTCATCTGTGCATTGGAAAAGAGATGGTATTTGTGATAAACAATCCCACTTGGGGGCAGAAATAGCACATAGCCTCTGCTGGGAAACTGTTGTCAAGGATAAATCAATAGCTCAATTCGGCTTTGGTTCATAACTCCACCTTTCACTGAGCAGTTTGTAGTCTGACTTAGACGGCTGTGCCACGGTTTGCCTGAAATTACAGCTAGGCTAAATGACAACAAGGTCCCAAGCAGACATCGAAGGGGATATTCTGTTGCTCGGATTGGTAACAAACTTCATTCAAAAGCTGTTGTATTCTCTTGGATCAGGTGTTGTATTCTCTTTCCCAGGTGTTCAGGATGTGAACTTTTCCTTGGCTCTCCAATAACCTCCCCTTATCTCTTTGTTCATTACAGCTAGCTATAATTCATTACCTAGAAGACACGCGTCCTAACCCCAGACTCCTGCCCCAAGATCCGAAGAAGAGAGCCCAAGTCAGAATGATCGCCGATCACATTGTCTCCGGCATTCAGCCACTCCAGGTATTGCCTTGTCACATCCATGCAAATAAGAAAACCAGGATGGGTTTCCAGGAGTCTGTATCTCTGAAAAGCTCAGTCTCTTTAAATTGTTGCCAGCCAATAGAGTGGCAGACCTTAAGACTGTGTGTAGCAGATGAAATCTCTGCTTAGCCTCTGCCTGATCTGCCAATGGCAACAATACAGTATTTCCTACAAAGAAAATCCTGTAGCACCCCAGGGTTCTTTCCAGAAACAGCTGAACCCATATGGTTTCACTGCTGGGTCTAGGATGTTTTAGGAGGAAGACAACTGAGCAACCCAAAGGGCAGGGGCAAAGGGATACCCTGGCAGCTGTTACAGAAGGACAGTCCTGAGAGAGATACAGCAGGGTGCATGATTCGGTGAGGGTGAGGTCAGGGCTGACCCAGCAGGCTGAACTCAGGCTGGGAGTTCAGGCTTGGAAACTCCTTATCTCCCCTCTCCCCCACTGGATGAGGCAGTAGGCAAGATCCAGCCAGCAGCGGTCAACCTAACCTGGAGATTGCTTGCCTTCGCAGAACCTGAGTGTCCTGAGACAAATGGGGGAGAAAAAAATGGAATGGGCTCAGAACTGCATTGCATCTGGCTTTCAAGGTGCGTCCCACATACAAAATGATCAGCACTTTGACCGACCCTTTGAAACACAGCACCTCTTCAAGCAGAACAGATCTCCCTAGGCTGACGTGCTGGGGTACTGCCCTGCTGGCAGAGAAAATGCTCTTCCTGCCTAGGGTGCCTTGTCTGGGACTGGTAGCTCTCCAGGGTCTCGGAGGAAAGATGCTGTCCACAGGGCGCTTCCACTGCTGCGCATGGAAGAGGAGGGGCCATCCTGTACACAGCAGCAGTTGATTCACCCTGAAGCGTGAGGGCTGATAGCACTTCTCCTTTCCACCCAGCTACTCCCAAACTAGTGCCTTTTGCTTTAAAGTTCTATCAATCTATATTTATATGCTTTTGTAATCAGACAAAAGAGATCTGATGGCAAACTCCCACAGAATCTAGCAAGTAGCAGAGTATTTCTTTACCTCCCTGGGAGAAATAGGGTGCTTTTTGTTTCCTCAAAACCCTTTCCCCCATGTGCTGGAATGGCAGGCCCATCTTTACTTCTGGACAGACGCGAACTGACTGATCCTTTGCATTTTTCCCCTCCCCACTCACATATCTCTACATTGTCCTCTTAGTATTTCAGGTGCATTACCTGAAGCATCTGAAATCACCCTGGGTCCCAAAAAGCTGAAGGACCCTAAAGACTCCCATAACTACGCTGTTGTAAGATTTCTGTTTCTTCTAGGTTCTGTCCCAAATTGCTCCTTTTTCATACTCAGCTCAGGGTCAAAATGCCCTTGTTCATAATCCCCAGTCTAAAAGGTCTTTGGTGTCCCTTTCAAATCAGTTTCCAATGCCTCACTCCAGTGTACCACCTCTCTTGACAGCGCTGGAGCAGATTCTGCAGCACACTGCTGGGCGCTACTCTGTGGGGGATGAAGTAAGTATCTGAGAGAGTGTTGTGTACCATTGGAGAACGGAAAACCCCAGTATATTCCATAAAATAGGAAAGGAAATTAGTTGTGGAGACATAGCACAACCCCATCTTGTGCTTGGAGTTACATGCAGTGTCTTCACCAAAAGAAAAACAGCTGCATGGATCCTACTTAGGCCATTATCATAGAATCATAGAAAGGTTTGGGTTGGAAAGGACCTCTAAAGGTCATCTAGTCCAACCCCCCTGCCATGGGCAGGGACATCTTCAACTAGATCAGGTTGCTCAGAGCCCCGTCCAACCTGACCTTGAATGTTTCCAGGGATGGGGCATCCACCACCTCTCTGGGCAACCTGTGCCACTGTTTCACCACCCTCAGCGTAAAACATTTCTTCCTTCTAGCTAGTCTAAATCTACCCCCTTTAGTTTAAAGCCATTCCCCCTTGTCCTGTACCATTGGAGAACGGAAAACCCCAGTATATTCCATAAAATAGGAAAGGAAATTAGTTGTGGAGACATAGCACAACCCCATCTTGTGCTTGGAGTTACATGCAGTGTCTTCACCAAAAGAAAAACAGCTGCATGGATCCTACTTAGGCCATTATCATAGAATCATAGAAAGGTTTGGGTTGGAAAGGACCTCTAAAGGTCATCTAGTCCAACCCCCCTGCCATGGGCAGGGACATCTTCAACTAGATCAGGTTGCTCAGAGCCCCGTCCAACCTGACCTTGAATGTTTCCAGGGATGGGGCATCCACCACCTCTCTGGGCAACCTGTATTACTGAATTGCAAATAGTTATGGAGATGTTTACTTCTCCCTGCCTATAACCTGCTGATGGCCAGATTCTGCAGCTGTATCTAGGATCTGGATGCTACTAGAGGATGTGGAAACAGATTATATATATTTCATCTTTAAGAGATTTGGAGTTCAAAGTGACCTGTCATAGGGGCAAAGCTTGGCTGAAGAAACACAGGTTCACTTCTTAGCTCTGCTCTGTGGAACCTTTAACCAAGTTGTATTGTATTTTTCATCTCTGTTTGTCCAATTTTAACATTAACAGATTTCAGAGAGCTCACATACAAGCTGTTCTGACCCTTACCAAGCTAGAGGCCACTCAGGCAGTAGTCCTGTTTGGGAGGCAATTGGATCTTTCCTATAAAAGCCTGAGAAAAAAGGAAGGCTCCTGCAATATCCTGTGATGCAGAGGATTGTCTAGTAGGAGCCTTATGGAACTGGAGCCCTTGGTGGGCAAAGGCTAGTTACAAGATCTTATGCTGGAGAGTAATGTGTGCTCTGAAAGGCACCCAGGGCTTTGTGACCTGGGGAGTGGGGTGGTGGCAGCTGCCTCTGTGTGGATAGGCAGCTAGCCGTATTGTCCTTGAGTCTTCTTTTCAGATTGCAAGTCCCTGAGCCTGTGTGCAAAGGCCCTATCACATATCAGGTCTTGACATTGGCAGGAGCTGCTTGATACGCCTGCAATGCAAACAAGCAAAATTTACTTATCTCTTTCCCAGCCACGCAAACTCCCCCTCCCTCTATCACTGCCCTCTGCAGCTTGCCAGCAGACTTGTTTGCTCTGAGGCAGCTGCCATAGAAGCACTGTGTCCTTGAGGTTGTCATGATCAGCTGGTAAATATGAAGCTCCCTAAAGGCTGCTGGCTTCTTCTACTAGTGACTGCTATGGAGTTCCTTTCCTTGTACCATTGTCATATTATCAATGCTGGATTAAAGAATGTGATTGTTGTGACAACTCCTCTGTACTGGCTGATAAAATAATTTCTATCCTGCTCTCAAAACCTGCCACCACAGTGAAGTGTGATGGGACAGGCTCTGAGTTACTTTGACCCCTTTTCTCTGCTACATTTGCAGGTTTCCATGGCCGATCTGTGCTTGGTGCCGCAAGTTTCCAATGCTGAAAGGTAATTAAGGCTAAGCTTGAGGCGCTCTTCAAGGGCACCTACTCCTTGTGCTGGGCTGTCAGAGCTTACCTTCTGCTGCTCCTTGTGCCTTTTAGGAAAGCATCCCTCCTACCTGCCTTATCCAGTTATGGATTCTTCTCTGCATGAGCTTTCCTATGTCATAAATATTGTCTTTTTTGGAAGCTCTTGGAAATAAGGAGTTGCGCTCTCTTCTCAGAGGCCCCTTGAGGAAACTTGATCTATATCCTTAGAAAAGCTAAGGTTGCCCGCACTCCACGTCCTCCCTCCCTGTTTGTCCTATATTTACACTGTACACAGGGGGAAAAGATTAATTTGACTATATTTGTTGAAAGCCTTAAACCTATGCAAGTAGTGGCTGCATGATGCCAGGAAAAGCATAGGGCCTTCTTACCCTGTGTTGCACACTATGTAAAAGCCTAGTGAAGATGGAGGAACTAACTAACCTTTCCTCTAGTATTTGTTTTTAAACCTACAAGGATGAACCTTTTCTCTTAATGCAAATGTACCCCATCTTGTGAGATTCTCCCATACTGGGCAGGCACAGCACACTGCTCTGCCCTTCTGCTCACTGCTGCACTGGCTGTCCGCCTCATAGTACCTCGCAAATTCTTTTCATTTTGCAGATTCAGAGTGGACATGGGTCCGTATCCCACAATAACCAGAATAAACAAAGCTCTCCTGGAGTTAGAGGCATTCAAAGTAAGCCACCCATCCCAGCAGCCAGATACTCCAGCAGAGCTGCGAGCTTGAAGCCCTTCTACTCATTAAATCAAGTAAGCTGCAGTTGTCAAAGAGGACAACAGCTACAGCTTGAGTAGAACTTCAGTGCCAGCAGGAAGCCCTAGTACTATTGTCTCACTTTCATCTGGGTGGGAAGAAGGACAGAGGACCTGGAAGTAGCCTGGATGACTTACAGGAGCTATGCCTGTGCTGGAAAGCTTGCAGCTACTTCTGACTATGTTTTTTCTATCTGATGTATCTCCATGAAGCAGATTAAAGCAGAAGCATCCATAACTATCAGAAGTCCCCTTTGTATGGCTTTGGGTTGGGGAATGTGGCGATAAACAACTGTGAGGCATTGAGCCAATTCTGGACTCCTCACAGGGGCTTCTTCTTTCTACCATCTACAGAAAGCATCAGGGAACCAGTATACACAGTGTGCTACTAACCTAGCCGGCCTGCTTGTCCTTGCAGCTGCCTCAGAGCTACAGCATAATCATCAGTGCCATGGATACAAACAGTAAGAGCTAGTGTCTCACAGAAGAGAGCATAATCCCAACCCTTGTTAGGTCCCGTGGGTCTTGCAAGAGCCAACAGTCAACAACTCTGCCACCCCTTGCAATGACAAGAGAATTACTACCTGGGACAGCTGATTTGCACCTGTTCCTTATGTCTAGCAGCAGTCTTGTAGAATTTATAATAAAGGTCTGTCTAGAGCAAAGCTAGGTGGTTGTGCCATAGTCAGCAAGACACAACCAGCTCACTCCCATAAGCTGAAAATGATGGCGTTCTCTTCCTTTTCCCATCCTCAGACACTGCTCTAGGTGTTCTAGTCCTCAGCTGCAGACTATTGCCCAAGGGAATCCCACCCCAGATTCCCTCCAAACCAGAATCATGCCTGTACTTTCACTGTGAGGACCTTCCAAGTGGCAGGAGTAAATCCCATTCCACTCATCCCAAATGAAACCCAACACCTGAGTCACCTTCAGAGCTGAAAGCACCCCGGGAACTCCCACCCAGAAACCTGTAGGGCAAGAAGGGAAACCCAGAAGCCTGTGACTGTGTTCCTGTGCAGGCTCAGCTCAGCTCCCACTGAATGTTTTGGCACGCAGGTACCAAGCCAGGGATATGGGAGGGAATTTCTGCCAGTCTGATGCTGTCTATCAGCTACCCTAAGAGGGCGATACCCACAGCCTTCAGAAAGACTTTACAAACCCATGATCTCTTGTGCCAAGGTAGCATTCACCTACATATAGATACTTGGACGGCCACATCGCTTAGACTCATTTATTGCCATCCATGTCTGTATTCAGGCTGGTGAAGAGCCCTTGCTGTTCCAGGCTCATTCTGAGTATTGTGCATTATCCTAGGTCCAGCTGGATCTTGACTGTGCTGTTGTAAAAGGTCCCGGCACAGTTGGAGCCCCCAAAGACCAACACCGTGTGCAGGTAATGCTCCTCTTTGTTCTCCTTGTCCACATCCATCAGGTGGGCAGGAGTCAGGTCAAGCAATGTGTGGCCAGCTCGGGGCACAGAGCAGAGGTCATGGTGGATCACTGTGCTCCATGAAAGAGTATCTGAAGTAGAAAGGGGCTATCAATACTGACAAGCCCATTCCTAGTGCAAGGGATGAAACAAATGGACCAGACTAGGTGTTCAGAAACACCACTGCAGCCCAATATTCACCTTCAGCTATGGAAACAGGGAGGGAGAGTCACTCACCTAGGTGGAAGACAAAGGCATCCTGCAGGGCTCCCTTGGCATTGCAGCCTCCACTGATCAGAACCTTCTGGTCCGACACAGCCAGAGCTGCATGAAAACTGCGACCAAAGCAAAGCCAAAAGACAACTACAGCAAAACCTGCTGAGGTTGCCTCAGTCAGCAATGGGCAGGGGTGGGCAGACTTCATCAGGAGGCTGGGGGCTTAAGCTGCAGAATGGAAGTTAACTTCTGCTTCTCTTCTGCTCTGACTTGCTGAATAACCCTGAAAGAGCTGTTTGTTTGCCTCTGCAGGTCAGGCCATAATCAGGCCTGAAAAGCACCTCATTATCTCAGAAGGAGCTATCAAAACTCCTATGTTTTGCTCTATGGAGTGAGATAGCAGGGTAGCTGCGCTTTGGTCTGATTCAGGTCGTTGTTCTAGTGGGCACTAGTGTCCCTTTAGGAACAGCATAGTCCTGGTACAAGAGTTCCTTCCTCTCTGTGTATCTGTTGTACTCCTGGTACTGTGGAGACCAAAGAGTAAGCAATACAGTTCACTAGCACACGGCAGAAAACTTCCCCTAGCCTGAAAGGCAGATTTCCAGGGAGACTAAGGGGTCTGTACCCCCACACCCTACAGGCACCAACTAGGACAGCACAGGAATTTCTGGTCCCACAGCAGAGGGGCCATCCACTGTATTTTGACTAGTGGGACAGAGAGATGCAACTGGGTCTGATCACAAGCACCATTTAAACCTGGCTTCAAAGAGAAAGGACAGAGGAAGAAGATAGCTCCTGGGTCTGCAATAGGATCTTACCAACGTGCGGAAGGCTGTCCTGCGAGGAGGGGGACTGGTGTGTACTCCATAAAACCTGACAACCAGGGGAAAGGCAGGTGAAATGTCCAAAAAGCTCAGCCTCATAACTAGACAAAAACTTCCATACGCTGCCACATCAGCAACCTACCTTCTCTATTATCCAGCTTCTTCCAAAAAAGCAGTTTCTTGTTTTTCCCCATTCCCTCCTCTCTTACACCAGAAAGGGTTTTTTTTACCCCATAGTTTTCCATCTCCATTGCCTAGTCAGGAGTTTTTATAACATTATTGCTACCTTCCCACTGAGTATGCCTCATTCCCCAGTCCCTGCCTTAGAATGGACCTTGCCAAGGCAGCCATCTGGCACAGACTTTCTTACCCAGATCCAGGATGTGCATGTCACTGAGGTAGAGAGAAGTCCTCCGACCCCCAAAAATCAGCAGCTTGTTCTTCAGTAAAGTAGCTGAGTGCCTGGGCAGAGAAGAAACAAGTGAACAAAGCATCTTCAGCAAGTTCCCAAAACTGACGTTTCAGCCTTGGCTTCTGCTATTGGGCTGCCATAGCTTCAGTCTACACCTGCCTCTACCCCCAGCCACTGCAGCCCAAGGACAGAATCCCATCAGGATTCATGACAGGAGGTAACGGGAGTCACATTGCTCAAAACATAGCGCTATCTTAAGGAGCAAACGGTGGAGAACAATCACCTAATATTTAGGAAATTACACTGGGGTTGGAGGGAAGGTGAGCAGAGGTTTCCTGCTCTATTTTGGATGGCTGCAATAAAAGCACTCTCACCCAAGCCTAGGCAGAGGCTTCTCCCCTTCTGAGATGGGCTGATACCAAATTTCATGCTCTGGATTGAAGACATAGAGCACATTGCTGCAGGGACCAGCTGCCAGTGATGCCTTTTTGGGGAAAGTCCCTCCGAAAACAAAGAGCTCCTTGCGGTAGATAGTTGCACTGTGGTAGGTGAGCACTGGCATCCTCCCTTTAGCCTGGAAAAAGTTCAACATACGTTTGTTATGAGAAGCGCTTTATTTGCTGCATGACCCGTAGGAAAGGGGCCCACATCATCCAGTGAGTTTGACAAGTCTCAATTTTCACTTTATTGGCTCCCCAGCTAGATCTTTGCCACACAGGCAGACAGTACATCCTTTTGTGTACTCTGCACTACCAGAATGCTCTGATGAGAGAAAGAAGTCAACCTCCTACCCCAGCTTCCTCAGAAGACGACAGAGAACAGAAAGATCTCATCCAGACTTATTCTGTAAAAGCCATCTTGTGCCTTAGCCAGGAGAGAGACAGACAGTCCCCCGCTGACAGGGCCCCCTGCAAGGACATGACAGGCAACTAAAGAGCTCAGAGATCTGCTGTGCTCAGAGCAGTCCCTGATTTGAGAAGACCAGCTCTTCACCTCAGCATCCAGTGCAGCTCTCAATAGCACCATATATGAGAGGCCATTTCCCTCTGCTGCTTGTACAGTACCTCCCACCCACAACCTTGGTCAGACACAGCACTGCAGCAACCATTTTTTCACCTTGCTTCATTCATCGTAGGCACGGCCCCTGGTTTCTGCCAAACTTGTGGCCTTTCAACATAGCCGCCTTATATCTGTCAATCCCAACTAAGCAGCTCAGACAACCTGCAGCGACAGTGGACCAAGACTACTGGAATAAGGATATGGGCACATTGATTGCCACATTCAGGCAGGACCTGCCACCCCTCCTGTGCTTTTGTCTTGGAAGAGCTGCAGTACTTACAGCCACGAGGAGCCATTTCCAGGTGACTGTGTCCAGAATGTAGATGCCACTGTAGTCTTTGTCCTCCCTTATGCCCCCAAAGATGTAGATACGCTTGGTGTCTGGGTCGTAGGTAGCTGTGTGACCATGCAAGCACAATGGCATGGCGTTTCGTAGCTGGAAACCCACTGGAAGCCAGAAATCACTGTCTGTGGGAGCAGCACCAGACAGATGGTGTGGGAGTTCAAAGATGCTCTCGATTTCTCCAGATTTAAAGAATATGTCATAAAGTCTTTACTCAAGACCTTGCTCCCTTCATCTCCTCCTCTCCTTTGATTCAGGGCTAGAGGGGACTCATACAGAAATGTTTCTGTGTAAGGAATGAAGGGGAGCACTAACTAGGTGGGGAATAGTAAGGTGGAAGAGAGGATTGGTGAGATACAGAAAGCTGCAAGGCGCTGGAATTGTATCACACACAGACTGCAAACCGCGCTGTTGCTTTTACCCTTAAAATTCACCCAACTCTTTCCAGAACCTTATCTCCTGGAGGGCTCTCACATACAACCCCACAGCCTCTCATGGCACCCTACACTGTCAGCTCAGCCTGGTGACCATGCTAGGAGATGTGACACCTTTGCTGTCCCCTCCCTATGCACAGACCCCTGAGTACCCCCTCCCATCTGCATGAGTTGTCCTCGAGTCCCACTGCCCCCATTGCCTTTGATAGCCCTAAAATCCCCACCGATTTCCAGCTTCCAGACTGCATCCTTGCAGGACTGCTGATCGACACCTTCTCCACCGATCAGAACAGCTGTCCCCAGGTCACTGAGGCACATGGCATGGCACCACCGTGGGCTGGGACTGCCTGGGGAGGGGAGAGCACAGGGCTGTGAGCAGAGTCAGACGAGACACCCCCAGAGCCCTTCCCTGCTGGGGAGAACAAGGCAGCTGAAGGCTCAGAGGGGAGAAATGGGAAGGCAAGGGCCCCAGGTCCCTTCCCTCTAGGGTGGCAAAAGACATAGCTCCCCGAGGAAGATT